CAGATCAAAAAGATCGAAGCACAAGACTGACCTTGCCACAGGTATCGATTCATCAGTCATTGCAGGAATTGTGACGAAGCTGGTAAAGGAGCAGGGCATTGAGCTGGGCAATCAAGACGCAACGAAGCGTATTAAGTGTTTCACGATCCAGTTCCCAGAGTCATCGGGCTTCAACGAAGCTGGTGAGTGCACAGCCCCCTATGGATCATCATAGGGATACCATACTGACGCCCGACAAAAGATATTGCTGAGCGCTCGGCCGATTTCCTCGGCGTGCAGATCCTCAAGAAGGACATGAACGAGACAGAGCTCGCCGACAACTTTGCCGACGCAGTCTTCCACACCGAGCACCACAACTTTGACCTGAACAGCGTGGGAAAGTTCTGCCTGTCGTCCCTGCCTCAACAGCACGGTGTGCCCGTCGTCCTCACGGGCGAGGGCGCCGACGAGCACTTTGCAGGCTACCCTTTCGTGCTGCCAGCCTTTCTCATGGAACCCGACCTCGCGTGGCCCCAGTCCGACATGACGGACGGCATCCGCATCCCCATGTATCAGGAGATGACGGACGACCTCAAGGCCATGTTTGACCGGATCGGCATGTTCGAGGATGAATCCTCCTCGGGCGGCGCCGCCCCGACGAGCAACTCGATGCGTCTCGAGCCCGAATGGAACGCCTTCTCGCCGTGGGTGCGGGAGACGTACAAGATGCCCGGCTCGGCCGAGTCGACGCTCGCGCCAGAAGTCCTCGAGAAGATGATTGAGAAGTGGCACTCGCTGCACACGAGCCTCTACGTCTACACCAAGGGCCCGCTCGCCAACATGATCCTCACGTGCCTGGGTGACCGCACGGAGATGGCGCACAGCATCGAGGCTCGCCCTCCCTTCTTGGACCACCACCTCGTCGAGTACGTTAACAACCTGCCGCCGAGCGTCAAGGTCGCATATCAAGAAGCTGCCGGGGCAGCCGCCGGGACTGGAACGACCGGCACCGGAGCTAGTCTGTGGTGGAAGGACCTCAGCCCGGCACGTCAGAAACTGAGCGAGAAGTGGATCCTCAAGGAGGCCGGGAAGCCGTTTATTACACAGGAGCTCTACGAGCGGAGGAAGCACCCGTACTCGGCGCCGGTCAAGTGGCCGCGCGGCGGGCCCGTGTATAAGATGATTGCGGGGCTGATTACGCAGGAGAATATTGAGAATCTAGGCTTCATGGAGTGGGATAACGCAAAGAGGTGGCTTGAGGAGGGCTTTGGCGAGGATGCGAGCCCCAGAGCATTCCGAAAGTTGATCTGTACCGCCTCCTGGGTTGTTCTCAGTCAACGGTTTGGGGTGAAGAAGGCGGCCGTGGAACAGTGGTCAGCGAGTGCGTGATTGGATGCTCACTTAGGAGTTGGGGACTTTTAGAATTTTGCGGTACGAGATGCTCTCAGGTACCTTATTCCGTACCGGGTACGACATACGAGGAATGAGTTTGGATTAGGAATGCACAACAAGTATTGAAGAAAACGACTGGCTTTTGAGAAACAATCCGGGACAATGTATTGATGCATTGAAAAATCTTGGCTGCATGTGTACACTTTGGACTTGCTTCGTTGGGGTCCCTGTCTGGCTTCTGATATGGGGACATCCGGACCGTTGGGCGGCCCCGCATCGGAGCCGAACCCGACAAGTAACCATGTCCCTTAGGCGGTGCCGTGAAATATTGCCCCCAACAGCAATATTGGCCTCCTTCAACGCCTTGCTACACCCAATCCATGGGTCACAAGCATTTTCAGCAATTGACGAGTGCTACGCGTATTACCGAGCTGGGTCATCGTGTCGTCGGGGTCAGATTTGCAACAGTCTGGTACCATTGGCCAGACTGGTCTGAAGCAAAGCTGACAAGGAACCGAGGCACCCATCCCTTCCCCCCCAGGTGCCACAATAGGGGTTCTGTCGATCGGCTCCCCGGCCAATTGGGTACGCAAGCTGAAGCTCCGTTGGGTCCAAAAGTGCCCCGAAGCCCCGGCTTTGCGGGCAGTGTCAGCTAGCCTTTTTTTTACACGCGGCGGGGGGGAAAGAGGTACCTGTGCATCCACCGCAGGGAACGCGTGCCGCCGCCTGTCTGAAGCTTAGCCCTTCCAGGTTCCAATCCCTCCAAAAGGCGGTTTTGCGTCACAAAAATAACCCCCAAACTAAAGGTCCCCGGTCTTGTCTGGACACATGGGACGGAAGTTGCGACCACGAGACTTCATCTCCAATTTCCCACAACCTCCAACCTTTCCCCGTTTGCTGGAATCAACACACCGAAGTGTCGAAAGTCACAACTCGGCACAGCTCTTGAGAGCTTTTCCTTCTCTATACACACATTGACGAGATGTTGTAGAAACTCTCAAACCTGAAACTCTCTCTCCCTTTCCGCCTCTTCGGCTTCTTCTACACGTACACGTGCGCAAAGTTCCTCGAGGAGCTTTGCATCCACGAGCCAGCCCGCCATGGCTGCCATCCTCAAGTTCTCGAGGAGCATCTACGACCTCGATAACCTCGACACCCGCTTCACGAGCTCCTCTTCCGTTCCCTACAAGACCATCGTCGAGGCCCGAACCGATCCCGCGCAGAGCAAGGAGCCGCCCAACAAGGTCCAAAGCCGCTCCCAACCGTCGAAATGGGGGACACCAGAATACCTCCTCTACATCTTTCTGCTTTCATTCATCGTGCCATACATGTTTTGGATCGCGTATGATGTATCAAGGCGTACGTCTGGTCCTCTTCCTCCGAAGATGAACCTTCCGCTGATGCTCAATGCTTCCGTCCTCTAGCTTCCGACCCTCGATACCACAACTACGAACGCTTCCTCCGTGATGGCTGGATACCGGGTCGCAAGATCGTAAGCTCCATACAATGCGCAAACCTACCCAATCTGTAAACTCCAGCTCACCCCCGACTTCTCTTTCTAGGACGTATCCGATTCGCAATACCACACGTTCCGCGAGAACCTCCCGTTCATGGCCCTCCTCCTGGCCTTCCACCCCCTCCTCCGCAAGCTCTGGAACACAGTCTTTCCGATCCCCTCGGACCTGCACAAAAAGTCTGTCTCCGAACAGGGCGACGCCCGCCTCGAGCAGCGCGCCTCCTTCGACTACCGCTTCGCCCTCGTCTTCCTCGTCGCCCTGCACGGCTTCTCCGCCCTCAAGGTGCTCGCGATCCTCCACATCAACTACCAGCTGGCGACCCGGCTCCCGCGCCGCTACGTCCCTGCCGCGACGTGGACGTTCAACATCTGCATGCTTTTTGCGAACGAGCTCTGCGAGGGGTACCGCTTCGCCGCCATTGCGCGACACATCACCCCGCCGCCCGCGACGAAGAACTTGCTCGATGAAGACCCCTTTCTCGTGAGGTGGGGTACATGGATGGACCGTCATGGCGGCCTCATGAGCCGCTGGGAGATTCTCTTCAACATCACCGTCCTACGGCTCATCAGCTTCAACTTGGACTACTACTTCAGCCTCGATCAACGCAATGGAAGTCCCCTAGAGGTAAGATCAAAGCTCTGTCATACCAACCCCCTCGACATCACTGACGTCCCCAAGAAGAAGCAACTCGACCCCTCCAACCTCTCCGAACGAGACCGCCTCGCCATCTCCGCCGCGCCCAAGGACTACTCCTTCCGCAACTACGTCGCCTACGCAATCTACGCGCCCCTCTACCTCGTCGGCCCCATCATGTGCTACAACGACTTCATCTCCCAGCTCCGCCACCGCCCGGCCTCGATCGAGACCCCGCGCACGATCCGCTACGCCGTCCGCTTCCTCCTCGGCCTCCTCGCCATGGAAGTTGTCCTGCACTACGACTACGTCTGCGCAATCTCCCACGCCGGGCCCGACTGGTCCACCTACACGCCCGCCCAGCTCTCCCTCCTCTCCTTCTTCAACCTCCACATCATCTGGCTCAAGCTCCTCCTGCCCTGGCGCCTCTTCCGCCTCTGGGCCCTCATCGACGGCGTCGACGCCCCCGAGAACATGCTCCGCTGCGTCTCCAACAACTGGTCCCCGAAATCCTTTTGGAAGGCCTGGCACCGCTCCTACAACCGCTGGCTCATCCGGTACATCTACATCCCCCTCGGCGGCGCAAACTTCCGCTCCTGGGCCACCACCGTCCGCTCCATCGCCACGTACCTGCTGGTCTTTACGTTCGTCGCCCTCTGGCACGATATCCGTCTGCGCCTGCTCATCTGGGGCTGGCTCATTGTGCTCTTCCTGCTCCCCGAGGTCCTTGCGCAGCTCCTGTTCTCCGCGCGCAAGTGGGAGGGCAGACCGGACACGTACCGGCGGATCTGCGCCGTGGGAGCTGTTGCGAACGTGCTCATGATGATGATTGCCAACCTTGTCGGTTTCGCTGTCGGACTCGACGGCTTGCAGAGCATTCTCTCTGGAATCCTGCACGACTGGTCAGGTAAGTTCATCTTCCCTTCTTACCCCTGAGAGTGCATGCACTAATCCTGATCTCTCTAGGTGCGCTGTTCTTTATGAGTGCGTTTGCCTCCTTGTACATGGGTGTCCAGGTCATGTTTGAAATCAGAGAGGCCGAGATGCGAAGAGGCATTTCACTAAAGTGTTGACGGTTGTTCACCGTCGTTTGTCACCCAAAACGTTTGTAGCAAAATTACCTGTTTGAATAGCGATTCTTAGATGTTTGGTATTATGATACTAGACAGTTATTATGCTGTACTATTACTTTGATGCAACTCGCTCCCTCTTCCCCTTTTGCGCCTCTCAACGTTGTGATGCTACTCATGGCAAGGAGGGGACAAAAATTAGTTGAGGTCCCTCCGGGGTATAATAACAATGCAGTGCCTGCTCCCAAATCCGTGTCCAGACTCCTTCTCCTTGTCTCTCCCTCTTTATACATATACATATACATATAAGTCACCACGTTTGCGTGTTCTGTCGATTGAAATGGGCGTGCGCTTAGGCTCCTTTTACCCTCCTCCTTTTCGCTCCCTCTTTCTGACTTTATATCCGGTCTCAGTGCTTGGAGGTGATGGTGCCCAGCTCCGTGTCGTAGTTGCGGAAGCGCTGCTGGGCAAACTTGCCGTCCATGCCCAGCTTCTTCTCCGTGATCCACTCCCTCAACCAGATGAGGCCCTTTGCAATGAGATAAAAGACGATACCGGCCACCGCGATGCCGATAATGTACGCCGCCACCTTGCCGCTGCCGTTCTTGTCGATGTTGAGGAAGTCGTAGGTGTAGAAGCCCTGTGTGTAGTAGGTGACGTAGGCGAGCGCGAGGTACAGGGCGAGGACGATGATGAGCCAGAGCATGTGCACCCACTCGAGCTGGGCGGCGCTGGTGCGCGGGATGACGATCTCAAAGAGGGCAAAAGCCGAGTTGAGGCCGTGCTGGGAGATGTTGCTAAAGGCCTCGAATTGCTCGGTGTACCAGGGGGCCGAGTAGATGATGGCCCAGTAGACGATGGTCACGATGAAGGGGTAGGTGACGATGGTGCTATAGTAGAAGGCGTGCAGGGCCTGGAGGGGTCGCGGGAAGCGGTCGAGCAGCGGGGTCCCAGAGTGCGCGTACGTGAAGGTGTGGATGGCCGAGATGAGGAAGTAAAACGCGAGTCCCCAGTAGGTCAGAACAGTCTACGGAGGGGGGTCCCTCAAGTCAGTCTTGCGCCCTGTTCACCATGTTGGCACACAATGATATTCGAGGTTTACTTACGAAGTAGGAAAAGCTCTGGCCGACGACCTTGCACCCGCCATCTTCGGCGTGAGTACAGGTCCAACCGATGACGAAGAAGCGGACGACAAAGATGTACAGACTCTGCGAGAAAAAGACATGTTAGTTCCCACAAGCAATTCACTGTTTGGTGGTGGTTAAAGGGGCATTTGCGCGCTGAGAGGATGGTGACGACATTGCTAGACACCACAATGCACGAAGGGTCCTCAAGCGTGACAGAGAAGAGTAGGGGAAGCCAAGACTCACAATTAGCGCTCGACACGCGGCCAACAGATAGGGAGAAAGCAGCCATGAGGTCTCGAAGCGGTGAGAAGGATCCCAAAGATCCCTCCCGAAGCGGAATGCAGCGAACATCGTGATCTGCCGGGGGGTGGTTGATGCCGGCTAGGATTGAGGGGGGGAAAGGGGGAGTGGTGAAGCCCTTTACCCTCTCAATTTTCCTTCACGATGATGAAGTTTTGGAGTTGAGCTAGAAGGACGGGGCAATTGCTCGAGGACCCAAGAGGATTTTGAACGTGGGCCTTGGCTTTCGGCGCGGGTCGTTGGTTCGCAGGGATGGTCTCCGCTCGGCGCTGGCTGAGAAATCGCAATTACTTTCTGCTGCTGGGGGAACCTGGACCTTGGTGGCAGGGCGTGCCGAGTCTCACGGGATGTCGCGTGCCGGATGTTGATGCGGGAGACCGTACGATTATTGATACAGAGTAATGATCGTTGATGATGTTCGCGACTGTGAACAGTTGGGTGCTATCTACTGTATCTTCTGTTATTGTTGTTGTTGTTATTTCTCTTCCTGTCGATGCCAGCTTGCGACCCCATTGAAGAATGAACTGATTCGACAACCATGGACTGTGCAGCAGTCGTAAGCAACGTCGCGAGGCCCAATGTGTAAGCTGGGCCGCGGAATGCGACCATAAAGGTCTACCAAGGCTATACACAGGTACCGACGGCTCCACGATAGGTATGGCCGATGCCGACACCTCTTTTTTTGGTTCTTCTATCCGCTTTTGTGGCCGAGGAACCTGGTCACCAAAGAGGGTCTTGACCGTTGCTGCAGTTAGCCGGAGATGATGTGGGGGGTTCATGTACGATGTCAACGGGAGCATAAGGGGGGAAACCGTGGGTTTTCTTGAATTTCTCGAGTTCGGCCGAGAGCGTCAGAAAAGAAGATCCCGCCCGCGACATGTCCATCTCTTCTCACAAGCGTCTCCCTCCCCAAACTTGGGGTTCGACTGTAGCGAGTAAGACGGTCAGCCGAGAATAGCTGAACCGGATTTGCTGAGCAGACAGGTAAAGAATGCCACCGTGTGTTTTGGGCTATGTTGTGTGGCTGACGCCAAGTTAGCTGATCCAATATGATGGTGCTCGACTGAGAAGTGGCTCCTCGTCGTCAGCCATAATTGATGATAGCGAGAGCCTTCGATAGTGAGGATATATCCGAACGGGCGCAAACTCCTCCTCCCGCTGAATCAGTGAGAAGGTATCCTCGAATAATCAGCTGAGAGAGCCCATAGCCATTGTGGCTCGGCTGGCGCCACTGCTTTTGGTTTCTGGCCACCACGTATCCGTAGTCCATCACGCCGTTGCTGTATTGCCGTTCCCCTGGCACAGGTGCATGCTGCGGGGTGAGGCTCCTGCAGAGAAGAAGTAGATGATTCTCAACTTTGGTAAGCAGATTGTAGATCGATCTCCAGATGAACCGACCGTCGATCGACAGGTGTCCCAGACTTCCAGGCCGAAGGTGGCACAAGGGGCACCGCACGAACGGCGGTATGACGGGATCGAAACCAGGACATGCCTTGCAGCCGCGCTTGTCGTGCAAGATGCGCTGAATCGTGGATGCCCGTCATTTCCGCGCTTGCGTTGCGAAGGAGAAGCGCGATACAAATACGGCCGCCACTTTCCGACCCTTGACGGAGCCACTGCGAAGCCAATATTTGTCCACGGTGAAATTTCACCGCGAGGGGTCGAAATGTAGAGGAGATCGATGGCCCAATCCCACAGGAGCCACAATGGCTATCGTGACGTGAGCGACCCCTTGGCGACGGTAATACGGGAAGAAACTTGTCAAAGTCCCACATGAGCCCCCCGGAAGGTTGTGGCTCATCACATCGTCATGCCCGTCATCTATCGAACTCTCCGTCGTCTGCCCTGTAGACCCTCAAGATGGCCACACGGTCGTATTCCCATTGCTAAGGTAGAGGTGGGTTGGCAATGTCCGCCAAAACCAATACTTCGCCAAACCGACTTGAACCGTTACCAATTGCAGTTGTATGAGCCACCGAGCGAGATGTGGTAATCTGGTTCGTCCCGTATCATTGGGTCAGGAGAAATCGTCAGCGGACCGTTTTGGGCTTTTATTGGAGTTGAGGAGGTCACAACGGGCCGCATGGCATCGGCCGTTGGGTTGTGTCTGTAAAATAACCGGCCCAAGACGCGCTGGAGTAGGATCGATAGTCAACATTAACATTGAGCGTCGCGCTTCTTTGGACCGAGGCTTTCGGCCTAGTAAACCCCCATGAACTGCCCAGCAAGCTCCGTCGTCATTCCATCAAAAGCGCGGTGGTTGCTCGCACAGACTAGCTCTATAGTCAGCGTCAGGGGCTTTTGGACCGAACCCGATGAGGCTCCTCGGTTCATCTCGTCTTTTCTTGGCTCTCGTCTCTTCTCGCCTTCCCCTGTTCCAGCCATGTCAAGGGTGTCGCAACTAATCTTGAACGGCGGTCAACAACTGGGGAAATTCAAGTTAAGGACCCAAATGAACGCTGCAAATCAGGTCAAATATTCCACTCGATCGATAAAGATGTTACCGGGAAGAGTCAAGGGCTATAAGCGGGCTCCATGGTCGGGAGACGAGGCCGATCGATCGGCTCAGTGAGCCTATGTCCACAGATGGAAATGAGGCCGGAGAGGCGAGCCGTTAACACAAACTCGTCTCGAGCAAAAGCCACGAGATGGTGGGTGTCAATTGTCGACACGGTCGGCGGTTTGAGACTCAGGTCTAGCTTCCGCCGCTTCAAACATCGAAGGCCGTGCGATCAAAGACCAACTAGGACATGATGCCCGCGACAGGCGTTAGAGGAATAAAGAGTGTGAGAGCAGAGTGTACCATAAGTATCTGGGGCATCGGCATTGCACACCCCGTTTTGCGAATCGTGCCCCCATTGACGGACATAACTAGACACCGAATTTGGAATGCTTCTTGGGTGTAGACCTGTGATATATCATGAGATGCGAATTAAGTGATTTTTGTCATTTACGCCGCGAATATAGTCAATCTCAACCTCCACACAACGGCACATCTAATGCCGATGTGAGCGGGCGCTCCTGGCGTCTATACCACAGTAGACTGTACTTGTCGAGCTGTGTTTGGTATTTGCCCGGCGGGTATGGCCTGGGCTGGGCCAAAAACAGGCGAAGCAAATAATCGCATCGCCAGGACTTCTTCAGGCCCTGTCGTCGTTGACAAAAGACCCAAGAGGCACCTTTGGATGGCAAGGTTGCAGTACGAAGTGCCATAACCATTGAATGTGGGCCTTCAATGGCGCGTCAAATGGAACATGCAACGGCACTTGGGCAAAGTGGGAGGGCGGCCTTCGCAGGCTGTGCCTTCAAGGTGTACGGGTACCCCTCTCCTATGGATCAATTTCATCGTGTGAATGCGAGTTATTAATGGCGGGCCGGAGGATGACATCTGGAATGGGCTGGATTACGGGTGACGACGACCAACTTCCCCAAAGCATCCGTATTCGGCCATGAAAGGAAGTTGTGTCAGCGGTTGAACAATACTGTGGTAAGACGACGTCCCAGACTGGCTGTCAAGAGCAGGGGGTTGGATCCCAATCGAGACTCGGTCCTGCATCGTGGAAATAGTCTCGTAGCCCTAGGACAAGGCACCTTGTCTCCCGTTGGTTGTTGGCAGAAAGGTGTGAGTTGGATTTGATTGATAGTTTGGAAAAGCATCGTGTACTGTAGGTACTAAGTAGTGCGAGGTGCCAGTCAGCGCAGGCCGTAGGCCGCAGACAGCAGAAGTTTGGCTGGTACTTTCTGCCGTGTTTGGTGGCTGCTGACGAAACATCTGCCCGTTTGCCTTGGCGTGCATATACTAGCCGCAATGACTGCGTCGGTGGATGGCGGCTGATTTGTTTCTTTCGGTGGGTTGAAAGCTGGGACGGCCCATCTTGTCAGCAGCCTGGAGGGGATGATTTGACTCTGATGCTGCAGAAGCAAGCAGAAGATGCTTTCGACGGGCATGTTATCGGCATCGGCTGCAGCATTAGCATCAGTGTGTCGAGTGCGTCCCGGTCCTAGACCACACGTCAAGGTAGGGGGCGGAAAGGGAAGTGGGTGAAGACATGTGCTCGGTAGGAGGGCACCTATTAACACAATCAACGCGTAGGTGGACACCATCGAATAATGTCTAAGCGACGGAGTCAGTCACAGCTCCCGTAGTCTGGCAACCCAGTCAGTAAGTTCAGTGGTGCCAAGCAAGATGGACCTGCTCTCTGCACAAGGAAGAAGAGCAGATAGACTGCGCTTCCCTTTTCATCATCGAGGGCCACACCTAGGGTTTTCAATATCATGCAGATGCGCAACCCCATCCGTACAGAGTATCCGTAGTTAAACTGGAGTTTGGAGGGCCAGAGGTCGAGAGCCGGAGACCGCTTTTCGCCGGACGAGAGGGGTGGCAGTTGGAAGTATTGGAGGATTGAGGGGTGGAGAGAGAAAGGTTAGGTGCTGCGTAGGTTGAAGACAGGGTCCGGGGTGATTGGGGGCTGTTCTGTCCCCTGAGCCCGTGCGGGCAGCGCAAAGACGATTTCGAATTCAAGCAGCGAGCTCTGGGGGAGAAAGTGGTGCTGATTCTGGGCCTGGATCCAGGGCGAGGTCTTGGTGAGTACTTTGTACTGATCATGGTGCATTTGAGATGGTGAGGTGGTGAGGATGGTGAAATCTTCCATGGCGAGGTTTGGGCTGATGTGTGTTCCGTAAGGTAGGCACGTAGTAAGTAAGGTAAGAAGGTAAGGTACGGAGTACTAGGGAGTCCACGGGTTCGTACTCCGTAGGGGACCCTGCAAGTGAGTCCCTGTCTTGGGAGGAGCGTCGGGTGGTTCTGGGCCCTTTCCCTTTTGCAGCTCGCCATGTTCTTCCCCGTTTTGCTCAGGGGTTCGAGGAAAGAAGCAGCGCTAAGGCAGAAAAGAGCAAGGGCGGCAGGGATCCATGGGAAACGATTCAACTCACAAGGGGGAGGAAGGAGGGACGGGCGGGTGGTGCTGGGTCCTTCCTTTCTTCCTTCTGCTGGGGCCAACATGAGGCGTCCCTTTTTTTCCTTCTTTTTTTCTCTCTTAATGACCTGGAGCAATGTGATGGCTGCGGAGAGGAGGGGGGGGGGGGGCGCAAAGCAATAGAGCGATTCAATTGAATGCCTGGAATGACTAAGTAATACAATGAATCTCGGAAGAGGCGATGAAGAATCGAACGAGGGCCTCCAGCTAGGTACTCGAAGACCTTTTCGGGGAGTGCCTAAGCACCTAAGGTAAATAGGTAATGGAAGAGATTTCATCAAAGGAGAAGGAAGCAAAAGTGGCATTCCATAAGAACCAAAGGCGAGTGTCACAACTGCAAGGGCGAAGAAGCACCGCCGCTTGTAGACACGAGACTCGAACGAGAGAGGTAAAGGGAGAGAGTGTGTACGAATATACATGTGAGAGTACTTTACCTTGGGACAAGGAACATACTTGGATCGAAGTATCTTCTCTTGGAGCTCTGCCCCCATGGTTCAGGTACTCCGTAATGGTCCCATGGCAGCGGCGGTCGCAGGTGTCAGTTGAGCCTGCCCGATTCCACGTCCTTGTCAATGTCAAGTGACTGTCACTGGGTGTCAAGGTCAATGTGTCAGTGCTGTTCAACCAACAGCAGCAGTATCTGCTTTCTTTTCTCACTCAATCTGGAGCCCTGCCAGAAACAACACGTATGTACATACTGCGGTAGACAAACGCACTCGCACTCGCCCCAAGCTGCATTTTGTTTCTGGGCGAGGTACATAGCCTTACGGTCGGGATTCCGAAGTATTTTTTCCTACCTTACTCCGTACTGTATGGTACGAATACCTCACAGGCATCCCCGCGGAGCATGTATCTGGAATACAATCTCGACTAGGGAGGTACAGCCAGGAGGCTACCTTACTTGGAGATACTTGCTTTACCTAAGATGATAGACCTCGGGCTCAACCCTTTCCCTCAGTACTCAAAAAGGCACTGGCACCATTTTGCATCTGCACCTCACGCTCCGCGCCGCGTACCTTACCTTGCTTGCACCACTCACTCACTTATGGCCATGGATCGCAAAGTAGCAGCAGATGTACCTCAGGTACGAAGTAAGAGGTGTCTACTGTGTGTAAAGTGGTGGTGAAAAAAAGGAGCAGGGCGACCACCACCCACCTTGCCCACCTGCTTGGTCTTGCCTTTCCTTGCGTTAGCGTAGTCGCCGGCATTCGAGCCACTCATCCCTCCACCTTCGTTCAATCAATTCAATTTAGTGGAGGGTGGGTGGATGGATGTACGTCTGTCCAGGTCCGGGTCCAGGTCCAGGTTCGCGCCCAGGGCACCCCCATCTCATCCCATCCCATCCCACACCGTCCCATCTCATGGTCCATCGCCGCGCAAGTCACTCCCTCTCACACACACACACACACACACCACACACCACGCTCTCTCACTCGCGAACTGCATTTCCGGGCTTTCTTTACCATCCCAGCGAGAGGCGCCTCACGTACCTTGCTACCAACAGAGCTTCTTTGCCCTTTTCCCTCCTCTCGACTTGTCGCTCCATCTTGTCACTCTTTTCCAAGGCCACGAGGTAGAATTGAGATCCAACTCTCTATCTGTCTGTACCACTCACTACCTACCTACCTTGCTCCGTACACTTTGGCCCGCCTCAACTGTCCAGTCCCTCCTCTTCAGACTTCAAACTCAACCCTCGCCTCGTCCATCTCCGCCCTGGAATGCTATCCTCTGCCCCTCTCGCCATTCTTGTACGGATACACGACTGAGCGTACGACGGGAGCCTTGACTCTTGAGCCTTCTTCCCGGTCCCGATCCCGCCGTCATCGCTTGGCCTTCCCGCTTCTTCTTTTTCGCTTCTCATTGTCCTGAGCCTAACCCTTTTACTCATAATCCTAATATTATCCCACTTCACACTATAATCTATACCTTACCCTGTCTGGCCTTACCTTGCCTCCGACATCCCTCCTTGCTCGCCCGCTCGCCCTTTTTCACCATTGCGACAACCCCGGATCTATTCTTGCTCGCTCCTCTCTTTCTCAACCCCCCTCTCTCACCTTCCAGGGGCTGTCCTGCCTGTCATGTCAATCTGCGACTGCTGAACACGTCCTTTTTCTCCCCTTCGACGCGGCTGCTTGTTGCAACATCTCGACTCTTTGCCAATCTCATCCAACCAGAGCCAGCCATTCGCACACCCAACACTCCGTACAACAACCACCACCAACACTTGTGAGACCAGCAGTGACAGTTGTGATCTCCCACACAGCGCCCGTGTCGCACAACGTCGTACGTTATATCTCCGACTCTGCTATTCGACCTTCCGCATCGCACGACTCCGACCGAACCACCAGACCCGTACTGTCGAGCGGCTGTGGCAGTTGTCGCACGCCAACGGTCTCTGCCGCTCGTCTATAGCCTCGCCAGACACAGCTTCTTCTGTACGCCATGGCTACATCAACGGGCTTCCCACGCATGTCCTTCGGGGCCAACAACAACCTCGACTTGAGCTTGGACCTGCCAATCGTTCTCTTCCCCCCGTCAGACGACCTGCCTTCTCCCATTTATGAGAGTGACGATGAGGATGCTCAGCGAACACCGACCACGGCTACCGTGCCCCAGATCCCAGACCGCAGCACACGCCGAACAAATAACGAGTCACCGACACTGGGTAGCCCCAAGGTCCCTCGCCATCCCATCCCCTCAATGCAGGCCGCTTTCGCCGAGTCATTTCTCGAAGTCGCCGATGGCAATCCTACTCAGAAACCGAAACTCAAAACTGCTGATGCAAAGATTCGTCGCGAGGAGCTCATTAGCCAGGAACGCGAAGATGACCTACCCGATATGCTCTGGCGATTTCGCCCCGGCCAGCAGCAGCACGAGCTCCAGAAGCTCATGGCGCAGATATCATTTGGCGTTTACTTGCTACTTCACGGCATGGCCAACAGCGCCGCCCAGGTCGTCAGTATCCTGCAGGGTCACATCGACGAGGTGGACGAGTTTCTCGAGGTGGTCATGGAGGACTTTGAGCAGGCGACCAACGATTTGAAGGAGAGGATCGACTACCTTCGCTTGCCCATGGAGAACCTCGAAGTCTTTGAGAAACTGCTAGAGGACCGCAATTTCCGCCTCGAGATTGTTCAGGGCAACGAAAAGATTGAGCATATCGTAGCTCGCACCAACATCCAGCTTGAACAGTACGACAAAGATGTGCAGCATGGCCTCGCCGCAACAAAGGAGTTTGCTGTTTATCTGGCTCACCAGAATGCAGGCAGTTGGCGTCAAGATCGTCCAGACGTGGTTGACATCTATGCCGCAATGAAGGGCAATACTGAGGGGTGGTATAACGCATTTGTAGAGTTGCAAGCTCAAGGCAAGGAGTTGAAGACCTTGGTCGTTAAGCTGGGGAAGATGGTGGCTGAAATGAGCAAGAAGGCCGGCGAAGTGAGTCGAAGAACTTGGGTAAGTCGGGCCAATCGCCCTGTGGTCTACCCAGAACTAACCGCTCTGTAGGCCAGCATTCCGCCGTTCAGCTTACCGCTACAAGGCGCCCGAGTCGATGACGCACCGTCAAATTCACCACCAATTTCACCTCCCAGAGACCCGAGGCGCTCTACGCTGCGCGCGAATAGTATGAGCGGCTCTGTCTCTACTGGGGGAAGGTCAAGTTCCAATTTGGCCTACTTTGACATCCCAATGCAGATACCATCGCCAGTAGCTTCCCCTGATCAGCGATCGGTCAAAACCCATAGAACATCGCACTCAAACAACACCATGCAATCTTTCCACACCTCTCACTCTCACAACACAATTCATTCACAAACGACCACTAAATCTCATACAACCACACACTCTCACAACACCAACCACTCCCACGAGACGGCTCGCACAAGCCATACTACTCGCACCAACCAGAGCGCGCAGCCTATCGCGCCCAAGCTCACTCTGGAGACTCCCGACGGCCCAATAACTGAGCCAGTCAGCGCTGAGGAGGAGGTGGAGGTGACACTGGACGACGGACCGCTATACATACTCCAACCACGGACCTACACCCCACAGCCACCAGAGGAACGCATGCCTTCACCCGCCCCGACCGAATCATCAAGCAAATACCAGCCCCAGCGCGAGGCGCCTCTCCCAACGAAGAAGACATCGCTTCGCCAGAGAGTTTCTTTGAAGACGACCCCTCCAGAGTCAATCCAAATTCCACCCCCGTCATCAGACCTTCATCACACTGCGCGAGAGTCTCCTCGGGAGCGTCAGGCTCCAGATTCCGCCTACGGTTCTGACTATGACCAGCGGCAGCGTTATCATGCAGCGAACGAGCTCTCTCCACCTGTACAGCAGCCGCCGGTGCTACCGTCTCCGAGGTCGGAACACCAATATTACCGCCCGGTGCAAGCGAGCCCACACTCTCCACTACAGCAAAGGCCGCTCACTGCTGGTGCGCAGCCTAGATCTCCTTATGGTCACCAGTCTGGGTACTATCCCACTCATCAGAGGAACGCACCATCCCGTCTAGGAGGCGCAAGCATGTTGAGCAACGTCACGACCATGACATACGACTCGCAGATGACAGCGAGCGGAGAAAAGCGACTGAAGAAGAAACGCAGCGCTTTTGGCTGGCTGAAGAAGGCATTCTCGCTTGACGAAGAGGAACAACGAGCATACGAAGCACGAAG